ACGGAGTTTGAGAAAAAAATCGCAGTTGTAAAATTCTTTATTCCCTATAGTGAACACCTCCTTGTTGATTGCTGGCCATTGTTTCTGGAAACGGTTAAAAATTCCAACTTCAGGTCCTCCACTGGTTCCAAATGCAGTCGTGAAAATCGTGGAAAGCATGACTTCAAACATATGGTGCCTGCATGCTATCCATATAAGATTACGGTCAAGATTCTGCTCCATTATTGTGCAGGCACCAATGTTCAACCCAGTGTTAGATGAAGTAGTGTCAAAAACCAGTCCCCGAACAAGTTCTTTCAATTTCCAGTCTTTAAGAGCCTTCATGCAAGCATCAGCCTGTTGCTCACCTGTACCTCGATCAATCTTTGGAACGCCCAGCAATTTTTCCACCCCACCACCAGTCACAAGGATGGCAATTCTATCCACTTTTTTTTGACCACCAGTGATATCAGGTAAGAGCTTTCCATCCCAATGCAGAAGAAGTGGATCATCAGGAGAGAAATCAACCTTGTCAGCTGTAGTCACCGCTTCACGAACAGATCGCCTTTTTCTGCGGATTGTGCTGTACGACAATGATAAATCTTTTACCGAGTGACCAAGAGCCTGAGACACTGTTCCAACCACGAAGAGTGCACGGCGATCAGAAATATTAACACGATCAAGAGATGATACAACATTATTTGTTAGAACTTTCATCTTCTTTTTCGTTGAACCACTTGTGCTCAGTGTGCTGGAAGCGGAAGGAGTCTGATATACATCATCATCCGAGGAACTAGAGCTACTTTCACTCACAATGTCAACTGCTGATGAAGAAGAAATGAGTTCTGTTTTTTCCATCAGTTCCGCTTGACTTCTTTGACGCCTCAATTCCATTTTAGTTTCTCGGACTCGTTTCCGTGCCTCCCTAGCTGTTAAATTCTGATCAATTCCTGCCATACTACAACTTAATGGATCTTCTTGCTGCTGACGTAAAAATGCTTTATCGTTTTTCATAACTTCTGATGCATTCTTGGTTGAAATATCAAAAAGTTCTTCAAGGTCAGCGTGGAAAATTCCTTCTTTCATTTGACAGCTGTCCAATTTTGATCCTCGGTGTTTTTTCAGCAGCGATATTCGTCATATTCATTGTCAATTCTTTGAGTTGGAATTTTTCCTCTCTCCCATATAACAAGAACTGCTTCAATTGTTGCCCGAATACTTTTTTTCACTTCTTGTTTCTCTTCTATATGATGGAAGAGCAACCTCCGAAGAACATCCCCTCTTGAAGGAAGTCTGGCAGTCGACAGAGTTTGTGTAGGTTTACCAACAAGCCACACCTCAGCAGAAGATCTAGTGGTTGCCATATTATCAATTTCTAAATTATAAATAAATAAACAATGAAAAAACAAATTTGCGAAATTTGAGAAAATCACAAAATTTTACCAATGGTTAATTCATCTTATAAAACATGGCAACCCCTAAAATTGCTTCTTTTAGTCTAATTTTTGGTACACATGATCCTAGGTGATAAAGGAACACAGGCAACCTTGAGGAGAATGTTTTTTGTGACATTTTTTTTTTCTATTACAATCTGAATCACCCTAATATATATATATATATATATATATATATATATATATATATATATATATATATATATATATATATATATATATATATATATATATATATATATATATATATATATATATATTATATATATACATATATATTTATTTATAAATATATGTATATATATATTTATAAAAAATATGTATTTATATGTTTTTAATGTTTCCATATGACTTTAGCAACGTATTTAGTCGCTCTGGTATTTTTATTTCATGTTTTAATGCAATTGAACAGTTGCAAATCGAAGGGCTAGTTGATATATTTCAGGTGGTGCGACGAACTCAATTAGCGCATCCTCATTTTGTTCAAACTTTAGTAAGTCTGTCTATTTTAATAAGCCTTTATATTTTTTGCCTAATAAATATTTTATTTTTTTACTTAAGAAATAGTTTAGTTTTGTTTTATTTTTAAATATATTTTACTAACAAAATAATTATTTTTCAGTCTCAATACGAATTTGTTTACAAGTTGATAAACAATTATTTGGAAACATTTTCCTATTACTTAAATCTTTCATGAACTATTCAGAAAGAAAAACGTTCCAAAAGTTTGTTATATAAAGATTACAAATCATTATTTTTTTTAAACTTTTTTTTAAAAAATAACATTTTTTAGAGATTTTTTTTGTTTTGTTTTAAAATTATAAATATTTTTCTGCTAATTTCTATGTATTTTTTATTAAAGAGATTTTTTTAAGACATAAAGAAAAGTTTCTTATATATGATTTTCACAACTATATGTATATTTTGTTATATATAATATATTTTTTTAAATGAGATAAAAAACTGTTAATATATTTTGTTCATATTTTAGAAAGATGTTGTTTTTTTTATTTTTGTTTTTTATAAACAATTTTTTATGATATTAAAAATATATGACTTTATTGTTAAAAATATAAATATAAGAATATTAATTAAATTTTTTAATAGTTAACTTACTTAAAACCAAATTTCATTTCAAAGCTATAACACAACCTTACTCAGATTTGATGTAATTAAGTAAAAAATAATTAGGCACCTGCCCTGTGTGAGGGGAACGAGTTATTTAAGTACATACTGATGACTCAGCGCCATACAAGCCTATACAACGAATATTTTAAAATGAAATTATTAGATGCAAAGTTTAAAAGTTTTTAACAAAAGCCATCTAACCAAAAAAATTAAAAGTAATTGCAGTTCATTGCGCATAAAAATTTCAAGTATAGTATATAGATGTTTGTCAAGAAACACTACATAAATCATTTTTTAATATAAACTAATTTTTTTTTAACTTTGTTGCGTAGGCTGGTTTGGCGCTTAACCATCTATATTTTCTAATGTGTATTACACTTGATTTTTGTTAAGTAGTTTATTATTTTTTTTAGTTAAGAGCCGCTTTTTGTAAGAATCATGCAAAGCATGATAGTGACCCTCTTCAAAATTGATTTGTTTTTTTAAATGTTGTTGCTATTTATACTAAAAAGTTATTTTTCAAAAAATGCTTATTTATTCTTTAGATATTGAACGTTAAAGTTAGATTTTTTTGAAATGCTGACCAAATGGTGTTAAACGCATTTTTAAACTTGAAATTAGTACGAAGTCAATGCTTTTCCCATGGTTATTTTATTATTATATACTAGCTATTTAGTATTAGTAATTGGTGTAACTGATGTAAGCCAGTGAGTGTGATGTTAAGACTATGACAGTCTATTTGCTTGATCGCAGATCATCCAGTAATCAAGACCTGTTTTAAAAGTATTCCTTAAATTGGTTAATCTAATAAATAAAAAGTTTTCATGCCAAGCTTAGTAATTTTTCTGACATGTAAAGTGGATACCTCTCGTTTGAGTTTGTTGAAAATTATTTTTTTTGATTGTTTTTTTAAACTGGTACTGCAAACTCTAACATTTGTTGCACAAAAAATCATAAAGTATTATCAGGAGTCTAATATCTATAACAAAAAAATCTTTTTCTTATCCAACTTAATTTTAGCCTTGCCTACACATTTTATTACATGATTTTTCCATTTCAGATTGTTTAAGAAAATTACTCCAAGTAATTTTTATTTTTTGTTATGTTTAACACTTGTTTATAGGGTTACCATACATTTTGAAATACTAAATTTTACAAGCCAGTCTTGAGTCTGCTTAAATGCTAAATTAAGATCTGATTGCAAAGAAAGGAGTTGATGCACAGGAAAGCATTTCATTCAAAATTTTGGTGTCATCGACATAAATCTTGGTTATGCTTTTTAGAGTTACAGGCAAATTGTTTATTAATAGCACAAACAAGTGTTGTCCAATTATTGACCCCTGTGGCACACCACTGGCAATTTTTGCCAAAGAGGATACATTTTCGTCTATCACAACTCTTTGTTTTCTTTCTTTTAAAAAGGTTTATCACAACTATCTTTTAAAAAGGTTTATCGCAACTTATCACGTCTATCACAACTCTTTATTTTCTTTCTTTTTCATTTGATTTTAATGTCAGACCAGATATTCTATAAACTGTTGGTCTTAGCAACAATTTTTTAATTTAAGACTTAATAAATGATAAACTGTATATTGCAGACATATTGTTAGTCTAAATATCATGCTTCAAACCCAAAGTACGCAAAAATCAATAGTCCTAAAATATTTGTCATACTTTGTACTTGAGACTTTAGAGAACAAATAAATATTTTTCAAAATATATTCCTTTATTTTTTTCAAATCATTATAGTTATCATTATAATTATCAAGTTTTAAAGCCAATAAGCAACAATCAAGTAAATTATCTCTTGGAAAGTATGAGCTTTGTTCTATTTTAAAAATTAAAAAAGCATTAGACTACATTTGGTCAATATTCATAAAATATTTTTCAGTCTTAAAAATTCAATATCAAGAGTAGCATTTAAAATATACTTTTTTGAGTTTACTTTTAAGTACGAATAGCATTAGCATACTAAAAAAAAAAATTAATTTTGAATAAGATCACTATTTTTTTTTAATTTTTTAGTTTACAATTATTAATCGTAATATAACAATATATAAACTTGGTATCTGAAGAACGAAATGATCTTGTCGCCATAACCATATAACATATATCATCCCAGTGGGCACAAGAAGGTTTTGGGAACGTTTTTTAATGGTCCCGTAAAAACGTTTTATGAACGTTTTTTTATTGGTTTTTTGAACGTCCATATCAAGCGGTGAACGGACATTTTTCTGAAAACGTTATTTATTGGTTTTTATTACGTCTGAGACGTTTTGTCATTTTTATCATTTTTCTAACAACCTTTTTATTTTAAGTATAAGTTATTTAAGTAAATAACTTATGTTATACAGAAAAAAAACCTTTTCACAAATGAAAACTTAGGTCAACAGTCTAGATCCGGATAAATAACTAAAAGTTTTAGCATTTTGTGTTTATTTACAATTTAGGCATACAAAAACATAATAAAGTAGTTTTTTTTTTGCTATTCTATTAAGCTATTTATTCTATTATTCTCTTTAAACAATCGCCTTTCAACTTATCGACTAAATCGAATTTTGCTGTATGTGAAACTAATGTTCCTAAAAAAAAAATACCATAGAAATCTTTCATGCATTTCACTAGCATGTAAAAAAAATGCGTCAAAATGTAAATTAAAAAAATAGAAATGAGTAATGGAAAATATCACACAGTATATCAAAGGTCCGATATAAAAATTTTAAAAACTACCTATAATTACTCTACTTAATAAAGTTTTTTAAAAATGGTCTAAATGATCTATTTCCATAAGTTCCAGCTTGCTTAAACAATGGTAGAATACATTTTGGCATTATTTCATCCAAAACATTATTAGCAGAGCTGAAAAAGACCTTAACGAACCATAGATAATTATTTAGTTTGATCACATTTTACTTTATTTAGGAAAACTTTATACATAATTGTTTAACAAGAATATAATAACAAGTAAAACTTTGCTTTATTACTTAAAATTATTTCACTTTCATCAAACCTTGTTATATCATTTATTTTATCATAATAAAATTATGAATTTTCAAACTCAGTCTTTTCCCCCAGGATATCCGCAGCAGATAAAGACTTTTTAAGACTTTAGGTATCATAGTTCCATATATATTGCAGATTGAGAACCTATTAGAAAAAGAAGTTCAAATTAAGTAAAATATTAATAAAAAACTGTTGTGGAAAACTGAAAATTAAACACAATAAACATTTTTTAAAAAAGGAAAAGACAATATTTAATAACATAGTTCCACTAATAGACTTAAAACTTGATGGCAGTTTATCATAACAATAAAGAAATTCTTTTTTAACTTGTTGAAGAAATGTTTTATTTATTATCTATAATGTATTATTATGGATAATACATTATTTAGCAACTTGTTAAAAATAGATACACATTTTTAAATATTTCGAAAAACATTTATCATGTTTTATTAAACATAAAATGTTGAATAAAAACAGATGAACTTACATTTGGCAAATTTTTGCACTTTAATACCAGGACTTTCTTCTCTAATGTGCAAACAATTGTGATGTTTCACTAATTGTTCTAAAACTGATATTAAAAAAATACAAAATTTGCATATTCAATCTTATATATAAACTTACATTGAACTATTTAGTTGAAAATATTAAATATAACACCAATTTTGAAAAATTATAAAAAAACTTGCATATTAATATATGCAAGTTTTTTTATAATTTTTAAAAAAACAACCTGATTCTTGAAGTTTAGAATCTGAAGACTCTGAATCACTTTATGCGTGCATCTTACATCTCTTTAGTTCTCTAGTCAAGATTTAGGTTTGTCAGTATTTATAACATTCTTTTTTTAGAAGGTGAAAAAAAAACTTTTGTATTTTTTAACTTAACATGCAGTCGCTTTCTTAATTTTTTTCTAATAGATGATTGTTACTACTGAGTAAAGTCTTCCAGTTAGGCTATAAAAAGTCATGGTTCAATATTATATACACAAATTTATTTCTACTAAGAGTTCTACTTGTATAAATAATGTAGAGCAATTGCTAACTGGAGTAGAAATAATCTAGATAGGAATAGCTTTATACATTTATTAAAAGATATATTTATGAAATGATTGTAACATAAACTTACTTAATGTTAGATCGTCATTGTAACTATACGTGCATCTTTGTAACTCATAATTGAGAATGGTAGGTGAACTTTTTTCAGTATATTAATTTTTAAATACATAAAAAAATAATTATAAACAAACACACACACACATACACACACACACACACATATATATATATATATATATATATATATATATAATATATATATATATATATATATATATATATATATATATATATATATATATATATATATATATATATATATATATATATGTATATATATATATATATATATATATATATATATATATATATATATATATATATATATATATATATATATATATATATATATATATATATATATATATATATATATATATATATTATGTACGCGGAAATAGCAATTTACGGAACCGAATTTTGTGCGCGCCTGATATATATATATATGTATATATATATATATATATATATATATATATATATATATATATATATATATATATATATATATATATATATATATATCAGGCGCGGATCCAGCATTTTTTGATGTTTGAGATAACTAACTTCCAGACATGGTACAAACCCCAAAAACTTATATGTTTATACTTATGTCAAATAAAGATCATTTGCAAAAAATTGCGATGATTGGAGTCTGGGAACAAAAAAGCCCCAAAATTTTGGCCACACAAACCCCAAACAAGAGAGCAACAAGTTGATAAAATATTTTTTGTACAATTCTCAAGTAAATTTATATTCATCGATAATTTCTAAATTTCATACAATAATCTCTTAGTGTTCAAAAATTATAATTGCACAAAGCTTTAACCCCCCTCAATTTGAGGGGGTTACAAATTTTGTAAGGTCATGTTTTTTGAACACTAAGAGATTATTGTATGAAATTTAGAATTTATCGATTAATATAAATTTACTTAAGAATTGTACAAAAAATATTTTATTAACTTGATACTCTCTTGTTTGGGGTTTGTGTGGCCAAAATTTTGGGGCTTTTTTGTTCCCAGACTCCAATCGTCGCAATTTTTTGCAAATCATCTTTATTTGACATAAGTATAAACATATAAATTTTTGGAGTTTGTTCCATGTCTGGAAGTTAGTTATCTCAAACATCAAAAAATGCTGGATCCGCGCCTGTATATATATATAAATATATATATATATATATATATATATATATATATATATATATATATATATATATATATATATATATATATATATATATATATATATATATATATATATATATATATATATATATATATATATATATATATATATATGTATTTATAAAAGACCATATATCTTTGTAAGAATTATCATAGAACTTATGAATGTATATTTTACTTTTAAAAAGTTTCTTTTCATTCGTATTATTATTACTATTATTTATTATTATTTAAACTCAATTACAGTTGAACAACCTTTATAAATACAACCACTTTATAATTTATATAAAATCAGTAAACTATTTTTTTTTTTGTTCTTTCTTTTCCGGTTCCTCTTCTTTAGCCATCGATGAATGACATACATGGATGACAACGCCGACTTGACTACTCTTGTTGCATGAACATTTCTTCTTTCCCCCAAGGTGCACATCTTAGTTCGTTCAAAAGGGGAGCCGAATGAGTGTTTCTAGGTTTATGACAGATGATTTGGCCACACTGCTTTTGTATTATGTCAAGTCTATTTAGTTGCGCTTTGGATTGACCTAGGTATAATATGCTGGCATATTCTAATTGACTCCGTGTAAGTCCTTTATACGCTATATTTAATAGTTCCCTTTTTAATAGTTATATTTAATAGTTACCAGATGCTTTTGCTAATAATCCCATACTAGAGTGGCATTTTTTAACGGTTGTATCAATTTGTTCTTTGAATTGGAGATGTTGATTTATAGTGACTCCTAATAGCTTAACATGAGTTACTGGTTGAATCTCAGTATTTTCAATTTTAATGTGTAGGTTTTTAGGGAGTCTTTTTCTCGGTGATTTGAACACAATCAGTTGCGTTTTACTGAGGTTAATAGTGAAACCATAATCAACACAGAATTTAATTGTATCTCCATACGCTTTGACTAATTTTTCAGTGACAACTTGTAGTGAGCTGTCTGCAGCTGATAGGGTAATGTCGTCAGCAAATAAGACTCACTTGTTAATGGTTGTGAAAGATCTCTTAAGTAGATTTTGAATAGTTCTGGGCTAAGGCCCCCACCTTGAGGTACGCCTCTTATTATAGGCTTCCATTGGGTAATCTTATTTCCGCTTTTAACACTTTGAACCCTTCCTTCAATGTAATTTTGGAATAGTTTACCAGCTTTTAGTCTAGTCCTATTTTGGCAAGCTCATTTAGTAGACTTTGATGTGAAACACTATCAAAGTTGTGTGTCTCTGCCAAAGAATTGGAGTATGGAGAATGTTCACCTCCTAACAAACGTCTTCTGACATCTCAAGCCTCTAAAGATTCTGGAGTCAAAAAACAACTTCTCGTGGCTATTGCAGAAGGAGTTCAAGAAAAATACACAAATGTTAAACTCATTCTCTCACTTCTTGCCATTAAAGATATCAATTTTTTTATATCTTGTGATATAAAGTTAACAAACATCATTTGTGGCTTACAAGCTCATTCTTCTTCCCATCCCTGTATTTGGTGCAATGCAGAGAGTTCAAACTTTTCAAATTGTGGGACACTTCGAACTTTTGAGTCTTTGAAGCAGCCTTTCAATGAGTTTACAGAAGCTGGCTCAAACACAAAAAATATCATGAAGTTTGGAAATGTGGTTCATGAACCAAAAAACTCACTTGGTGATTCTGCTTTTGTCTTTGACCTCATACCACCAATGGAGCTTCATCTGCTTTTGGGAGTAGTAAACCATCTCTGCAAGATTCTCAAAAACACGTTGCCAAAGCAGATGAGTGGCTTCAAGCATTGAACATAAAAACTCAGACCTTTTATGGAAGACAATTTGTTGGAAATGATTGTCATGAACTGCTTAAAAACCTCGACATTTTGAAAACTCTGGCAGAAAAAGATGTTGCCTTGCATGTCATTTCAATTATTAAAAGTTTTCGATAATTTGGAGAAGTTGTGTCAGCATGTTTTGGCAACAAGTTGGGTAAAAGCTTTGCAGAAAAAATTGATGCTTTCAGAAGCTTCTTTCTAGCTCTACCATGTGAGAGTGTGACACCCAAGGTGCGCACTGTTTTTTTTTTCACGTAAAAGACTATCTTTAAAAACAAATCTTCTCTCGGAATTTATAATGAACAGACAACAGAAGCCATGCACCATCATTTCAACACTCATTGTACAAGATACAAGCGCCCCGTTGGTCATCCAGAATATGGACAGAGGCTTGTTCACTGCCTTGTGGACTTCAACAACAAGAATTTTTGATAAAATTAGTCATGGTGAAGAGAAAATTAAAGAAAATTCAAAAATTTCTTTTTGGAATTGAATTTAAATGCAGTTTTGTTTCCAAATCTGATTTTTTTTCTTGAATACTTATGTTTTGAAAACTTTATTGGTTCATAGAAAAGTTTTATTTTTAAAGAATACTGTAAAAATGCAAAATTTTTGAATGCTGTCATTTCACATTTCGGTGCAATAAATAATAAAATTCAACATTGATTTTCTTTTTCGGACGTAATAGGATGATTTGACTTTTGGTATTTCTGGAATCCTCAGGTCATAAGCTTTCACATGCATTTGGCGGTTTCTCTGGGAACAGACTTGACACCTAACCCAATTTCAGGAGGACGGTGGAATATATTTTATACAATTATATATTATATGTTGTATAATATATCTTTGGTTTTATATAACTTTAATTATTTTTTTTTAAATTAATTTAAATATTGCTTTTTAAATACATAAATCGACTGAAAAATAGGGATGGGCACAACAAAATGCACATACATCGACTGACAAGTAGGGATTAGCGCGATTAAACGTACATGATTTTGGACAGGGTTAGCATTTTTTAACAGTTTTGCATTAAATTGTTGATAGAAACCAGGCTTTTAAAAAATTATCTTTAAATCCGAGAATGAAAAAAATGGCAAATATTAGCGGTTTTTAATGTAATTTTTAATGATTATTTCTGATTTAAAAAGTTGAACAATTTAAACTGAATTATTAAGAGAGAAATCAAAACTTGAGGGAAAGTTAGCTAAAAATTCAAATCCATAACAATATAATTGAAATTAATTACATTGATATGATCTTTATTTTAGTTTACTAAATTTTTAGTTGTGTAAAGTATTTTTCTTTATGTAAAAATTGAATAGACAGTTTTGTTTATATTTATAATAAGTTTTTAATATTTACTTTATTTTATTATGCTTTTTATTTTAGAGAAATAAATATATTATTAGTTAGCCTCTAAATTTTACCCTGCTTATTGAATAAATGTTTAGAACCCACCCTATAACATAAATGTCACCACAAATATAGGAAAAAGCTTTTTAAACTTGATTGTCAAACATTTTCCAATTAACAACAGACTACACAAAATTTTCAACAAAAACACAATAAAAATCAGCGACAGTTGCATGCCAAACAGGAAATCAATAATAGATTTACACAAAAAGCACATACTGAACAAAAATCTAACCATTAATAAAGATAACTGCAACTGCCTTAATAAAAACAATTGTCCTTTACACAATAACTGCTTGACCAACAACATTGTATACCAAGCAACCATCACTTCGGATAACCCTTCAATAAAAAAATCATACATTTGTGAAAAATCTTTCAAACTAAGATATGCTAACCATTTGAAATCGTTTAATATCCCCAAGTATAGAAACGATATAGAGCTGTCAAAGGAGGTTTGGAACTTAAAAGATAATGATATAAATCCTGTGATTAATTGGAAAATAATTAGAAGATGTGAAGCATATAACCTGACAACAAAATCGTGCAAATTATGCCTTAATGAAAAATATGAAATTATTTCAAATAATGACAATAGTTTATTAAATAAAAAGACTGAAGTTATATCAAAATGTCGGCATAGAAATAAATTCCTTCTTTGTCAATTCGACACTAAAGGTAGACTTCGAGTATTCGATGTTTTGACGTCAGATCCCATTGCATTACTTAATTTGTATTTTAAACGGTTTTTTAATTTCTTGATTTAAAAAAACATATATGGCTGATGATTGCCGCCAGGCATGAAATTCTGAGTACCAACAAAAAGTTGTATTTTTTCATTTTAATACTAAATAATTATATTAGATCTATTATAAAAATCTTTGTTTTTATAATATTGATCACTTTTAAAAGAACAAGAGTTTTTTTGTACATTATTATACAAAAAACATTATACAAAATATATAAGTATATGTATATATATATATATATATATATATATATATATATATATATATATATATATATATATATATATATATATATATATATATATATATATATATATATATATATATATATATATATATATATATATGAAATATTTACTGTATTAGGCATCCTATACTTTTTAACTATTTAAAAGTTAAGAAACATTAAAAATGAGGTTATTGTGATAATAGTATTGTCAGAGGCAGGTAACATTTTTGATGAAAAAAGAGATTGTTTGTTGCCCAAAACTGAATAGCAACTCTTTTTGCACCACAATATTCCTAAACTTTAAAAAATCTTTACATAAGTGATTACTGCAAATAAAATTAGACAATAGCCTGCTGCTGCTACATCCATTATCTTATAGCCTGCTGCTACAAAGGAGTGCTACTACATTGACTATCTTATAGCCTGTTTCTACAAGCAAGTGCTGCTACATTGACTGTGGATTGGTCATATGACAGCAATCTTTTTTTTTTTTATTATTCCAGGGGCGGACGCAGGTTTTTAATTTACACCGTCAAAAAAATGCGCCTTACGTTTTTACAAAATGTTCTTATAAAAAAAAACATCTAAGGGAGGCCATCGCTCCCATAGCCTGACCCCTATGTATCCCCTAAATCCTCCTGCCCTTGAGCTGGAGGATTTAATGGGATTTTCTTTTTGCTATTTCATTGAGAAGCTCATATCTTAGTTTTACTTTGAAACTTTTTTTATATATAAATATATAATAAATATATAAACCAACAAATGATTGTTTCGCCCGATATCAGGGATCATCAGCATGTCTAGGAACATATTTATTCCGGACATGGACAATCAGAGAAAGAAAAATTAAGAACTGAAAAGAGAAAGACAAAAATACAAATGGATTTATATACATCGTGAAATAAAAAGTTATATATATTCTTATATAACAAGATTAAAAAAAAAAAGACATACCAAGTTAAGCTTAAACAATAAGAAAGAAGATCATTTTTGATGAAATAAAAAGAAAGCTAATGGTTTTGACAACTACAGCAAAAAACTGATTTAAATGGCACAAAAACTTATGAATATTATTAGGTTGATTGAGAGAAAATTTATTGAAAATAATTTTTTTTATTTTTTATTTTGTCGCTAGAAAATGATATAAAGAGATTGTCAAAATGAGATGGTTAATGTTTGCCAGAACTATGATCACTAATCATATAGCTAATCCCAAACAAAAGTATGGGGTTACATTTAACCCGTCCTGTTAAGGACACCATTGAAGTCTCGGCCTTTCCAGGGGTTTCCATGCCTATTTGATAGCTGTTATATAAAGAGAGGTGATAATAGACAAAAATTTCAAAAGTTGTTGGTGTGTTATAGAATAAACAGTATAGACACTAATCATTGAAATCAAGTCGTCTATTTTTTATAGAAAATCTATTGATAACATTATCAATACAAGGAACAATTTCTTGTTCCTTGTATTGATAATGTCAAGTCCAACAACATTTACAATGCGTTTTTGGACCTTGTCAAGAAGAGAAAGTGAATTGTTAGAAGAACCAGCCCAAATATGACAACAGTATTCCATACAGGGACGAATAAGTGATTTGTAGAGGTAGAGAATGGAATCAGAAGTAAGCAAATGGCGAGCATGATAAAGAGAAGCAACCTTAGCAGAAGCTAATTTAGCAATCGATTGTATATATGGTTTCCATGAAAGGTCAGTAGTAAGCGATAATCCAAGAAGACGTAAAGAGGACGACTCAGTAAGAGGATTGCCATTCATTAATATAGGAATGTTGACCATATTACGGTAGTTGTTTGCAGTAAGCAATTGGGTTTTTTTAGAGTTGAAATTCACAAGCCATTGTGAACCCCAATCTATTACTGAAGTGAGATCAGATTCAAGATCAGCTGCTTGTTCTAGGCGATCGAAAAGAGAAGACTTTTTGTCAAGACAGGAGAATAAAGTTGAGTCATCAGCAAAAAGAGCTACTTTAGATGAAAGGTTGTCAGGAAGATCGTTTATGTAGATAAGAAACAAAACAGGGCCCAGGATGGAACCTTGGGGAACCCCAGAAGTTACTGGAAATAAAGAAGAGTGTTGGCCTTCAAGGATGACTTTAATAAACCGGTTAGAAAGAAATGATTTGATAATCTCAAAAACTTTCCCAGAAACACCATATGAAGCAAGCTTATGGAGAAGACCAGCATGCCAAACTTTGTCGAAAGCTTTAGATATGTCGAGAGCAATAGCCCTAGCCTTACCGCCTCCATCTAATGCACGATAAAATCTTTCAGTTACAGCAGTTAGCAAGTCGGCCGTAGATCGAGAAGATCGAAAACCGTATTGATTGTCTGACAGCAGTTTATTTGACTCAAGATGAGATGTGAGGAATTTGTTGATCAAAGGCTCAAAGACCTTGCTAATAACAGAAAGAAGACTGATCGGACGATAATTGGAGGGGTCAGAATTTTCTCCAAAGTTTTTGAATATTGGAACCACAGATGCCATTTTCCAACAAGCAGAAAAACAAGGCTCAGTCAAACACTTGTTAAATAGTTTAGAGAGAATTGAAGAAAGTTTTGAAGAACAATTCTGCAAGACTGTGACAGGAATGTTGTCTGGACCACAAACTGTAGACGAGTTTAATTGAGATATGACTTTAGCAACAGAAGCCGGAGTGATTTGAATGTCTAACAATGGGTCAACCTGTTTGACTGGAATGGAAGGAAGAGAATGTCCATAAGATTCAAGAGTGGAATTAGAAGAAAAGTTCATTGCATATGAAATATAGCTAAAGCTAAAGTTATCTTAAAGTAAGCATTGTTACTTTTTTGGTCAGTTTTTTTAAGAGTTTAAGTAAGGATTTTAAGTTTTCATTAAGCATTAAACAATGGTTTTTTACACTTAATGAAACCCTAATCCTGAATCAAGATTGTTTAGGTTAACTTACTAGGAATATCTGGCAAAGCAAGATATTGTCTAAAAGCCTCAAATAGTTAAATTCTTATATTCTTACTTATGAATATTGTTCATACATATTATTCATAAGAAAAATTATTTATTAAAATAAAACTAAAGTTTATTTTTATGTTAGTAATAGCTCATAAATGCATTAATGATCGTTTATTTGTTTTCTGAGTCAACCACAGCAATCGTTTCTAGTGAGAAAGCAATTCTTTTAGCGGAGCTGGCCAAACTTTCTGCTGATGTTGCAATGCGGTTTAATGTTTCAGCAATACCTTCATAGAATAGGCTATCGCTCGGAATAGAACAGCTAAGAACAGCGGGTATATTCTGTCCGGTTGCAACAACTTCCTCTCCGATTTTAGACATGTTAGTCATATATCCATCTACATTTGATGACGATAGCTTTCGACTAGTAGTTTTTTTTACCCGTTTTTTATATCGGTTATCCTATATTATTTAAAATATAAGATATTAAAAAAAAAAAAATTTTTAATAACTTAATATATTTATACGAATAAAGAATTTTTGTTAGATATAATTAGAATAGGCAGGCATAGTAAAAACTATAAGTTTTTTTAATATATAAAAAAAGAATTGTTGATGGTACTTTTGCTTTCTTAATTGCCTATTTAGGTTTGAAAACTACAATTAAAATAATGTAATTTGTTTGTTAAAAACATTTTTAAACTTTAAAAAAAAAAAAAATTCCATGTGTTAAAGAAGAAAAGCAACTTTTTTTAATATCACATTGTTTTTTTTTTAATATCTAGGACATCGTAAAACTTAATTTGTAAAATATACCTTATTCTTTAGTAACGAATTTACAATGGCAGATTCATTTTGTAATATTAACGCAGGATCCGTAGATGGGAAAGAACTTGCTAGGCGAACTTCAGTTGTCGAGCGATCAGGCGTAGTCTGTAGCTGAGAGAGTGATGATGAAGACAATTTAGCCAGTGAAGATAAAGACTTTCGCAATGGAGTTTTTCTCTTTATAAAAATTTAGATTTTTTGAATGATTATATTATTTTTTTGTTGAACAATACAAAACCTTTTGATGACATAAAACTTAATCGTTGTAAATTGTTGTTAAACAAAAGGTTCCAAAAAAATTATTATTAATCAAGTCAAAACAAGAGAACGATTGCTGAAAATGAAGATCTACAAGTAATGACTTTTTATATTTGTTTTTATATTTGTGATTTTTATAAAAAATGATTTACCCTGATGCAATCCTCTTTCTCATTTGGTTGAGGAATACATATTTTATGATATACTCATTAAATTGCTCTATCTTACACATTTCATAAGTAGTTTTGATATTTGTTGTCTAAAATAAGATGGCATTAAACAGCTACTTTAATAAAAAGTTAAAGTGAACTTATTTGACTGTAAATTAAAGTATAAGTTGTAAATATATATCTTAATATATATTTACAACTACTGTTATAAACATTTAGTGCACGATAATAAGATAATTCTTTATTAAATAATTTACTTTACTTCAATAAACTGAGTATCCATTTTTTCTACGGGTTGCAGTACAAAGTTTCCCGTTATTATGTCAAAATTAACTTCCTCATTGGGATCTACTATGCAAAGCTTTTGATGAGTGTCTATCCCACCTGGAATTCCCTAAAATAACGAACCGTAATTCTTATAAAACTTTCTCAAATATTTTTATAAATATTATAGTTAGGTTTGAAAGTTGAGGATTTAAAGTTTAAAAAAACATCAGTTTAAGATTCAACTAATCTTCAGAAACCTATTTTACTAACTTATAAAAAAATATAGGTAAAAAGGTAAACTTTTATATAAGTCATAATATACCATGTATGACACTTTAATATAACATCTATGACACTTTAGGCATTTTGTTGATCAATACTTGATCAATTGAGCTCAGTTCTTTGCTGTTGCCTTCACCTCTTCCTGTCTTATATAAACTAGAAGAAATACGAGCTGCCTTTGCCTTACTGTCCGACTTTTGATCGGATAATTTCTTTTTGCACTGTTTCACTGTTCTATCAGAACCAACAACAGAAACTTGGTCGGCAATTTTAGACCATAAGTCATATTTTGTTAGTTTTGAGACAACTAAAAAAAAAATTAAAAGTTGCATACATTACATGCATTACTTATTAAATTATTTAACTTTTATACATTTTAGACACATTGAATCAACAACTTAAATAAAACTTTCATTATATTTACGTTTTTTATTTATTTTAAAAGTTATTTGAACAAACTCTCTAATATCAATAAATTATAATATACTTAGATTTTACCCAGCAGGCATTTGGTACAAAAAAGACGTCTTTTAAACATTAAAAAAAAGCGTTTAAATCCCTGATGCAAAAACGGAGAAAAAAATATCTTATGCAAAGCGATAGGAGTTTAGACAACTTTAAAAGCTAGTGTTACTGTTAAAACAAATTTGAAAATTAGAAAAAATATAGTTAAAAATATGTTTAGTATAGACATATTACATATATAGGAGTTTTTTAATTGTTTTGAATGAGTGTAATAATTGTCATAAAAATCAAACCTTGAGAAAACTTTCCATAAAAAGTTTCTTTATTCTCATTGTACTTTTCAACCAAAACAAGAAGCTCTTCGCGAGTCCAGCTTTTAGAACGTTTTTTTAAACCTCTAGGCAGTTCGGACACTAAAATAGTTAAACAATTAAAAAAAATATAAATCAACAAAACGTAAATGTTGTTTGAAAATACTTCATGGTATAAACTGTGGCTCACTCATATGAAAATACATAAAAACTTTTAAATAACAAATTATATAAACATAAAAACTTGTTCATATGAAACATAAAGTCTACGTAATAATATAAAATAGCATGGGATTATATGTAATGTATACTGCAGGTGATGTATATTGATGTATATAGTATGACCCTTGCATGGGTATTTTGTGCATAGCACCACAACGCACTCGTTCAAGTAAAATTAATTACAGTACTCATCTTGTGTCCACGCCTGGTAATACTCCATAATACTATATAAAAATAGAAGGCGAATGGAAATTGTTTAAATAAAATTTATTACGAATATTAAATGACTTACTTGTAAATTGTATTCAAAGTTGACTTATACGAATTATTTGTTTAAAGTTGCAAACAACTATTTATAGCAAATTTGTTTAGAGTACTTTTAAAATTGTTAAACCTGTTAGCAGTATTAAAATACATTCTAAGATCAGTGTTGTCTAAACAACTGGCAGTGTTAACAACAGTTGTGAGTAATAATATTGTTACATAGTAATATATAACAATAATTAATTAAAAATAACTATTTTCATAATTACCAAGATTAAAAGTTTTTAAAACTTTAGTTAAGCATCAAATAATATGTTATTACTTATTTTATAAGATATTTTAATATATATATATATATATATATATATATATATATATATATATATATATATATATATATATATATATATATATTTATATATATATATATATATATATATATATATATATATATATATATATATATATATATATATATATATATATATATATATATATATATATATATATATATATATATATGATATATATATATATATATATATATATATATATATATATATATATATATATATATATATATATATATATATATATATATATACATACATATATATAAATTAGCAACAATTATATTATTCAACTTCACAAAAAATCGTTAAAATACTTCCTTTAAAAATAATTGTTAAACTTGGTTTATTTAAACAAAAAATTAACTTAGTTGCTTTTTTGCGTAAGTTTTAGCGTAAGTTCAGCGCAACTCATGCGCAACCCTAACTTTACGGAAATGCTGCGAAAATTGGTAAATACCAAATAGTTACGAAAACAACGTTGAACGTACGATTTCTGTAACCTTAGTTGAGTTACACAAGAGTTACGAAAGTTTGGTGAATCCGCTCCCTGAAACTTTCTGCATTTGTGATTTGAAAATGCGTTTTATAATTGAATTTAGGGTAGAAGACATCAAAGGCTGGCGCAGTTGCCCCACTTTTTCGTAGTATCTTAGCATTGATTTTTTCATTATCTTCTGAATTAACTAGATCTCTGAAACTTTTAGCATTAGTATAGTCTCCATTTACGTTTTCAGGGTTGATAACCCCTCGGTCCTAAGTGGCCGGCACACCGGGGCCCTACCCCACTTTTTAATATTTTATTTTTCCGATAAAGGTATAAGTTTATCACAGATTCTTTGAAATTGCTTCGAGCGGGTGACAGCACCAGGTAGCCGGGACACGTGCTCCGCTTTAAAAGATTATTTTCAAAAATGTTTTTTATATACTTGTTTATTTATGTTTTACTTATAAGGTCTCTAAATAATATAAGTAAATCTCCAAGAAAACCTAAGGGTTTTATATATGATGAGGTCTGACCAGGGCTGTAGAGTCGGAGTCGCGATATTTTTAGCGGAGTCGGAGTCACTTAACAAAATCGCGACTCCGACTCCAATAGTAAAACTTCTCGGTATTGCATATACAAAACATTCAATTGAACTTATGTTTATACTAAACCTCAAACACGTTTCATAAATTTGTCAAAAAAAGAAATTTTTAACTTATTGCGTAATATTTTTTTAAGAATTCAAAGAATTTTTCAAAAATTTTGTTTTGGAGTTGGAGCCGGAGTTGTGCTCAAAATTCAACAACTGGAGTCGGAGTCGTTACTTTTTTTTTACGACTCCACACCCCTAGGTCTGAAATATTTCAACAGTAAAAGGGTTTTAAAAAAATGTATAGTGTCTTTTATAAATAAAATTCAAGTTTAAAATAGTGTCTAATCTAGTCTAATCTTGTATTTTTTTTAAATAAAAAACCCATTTATAATAAAAAAACTCTAATACATATGTACAATGATACTACAAATACACACACATGCAGTCGAGGATAAAGTATTGTCTAATGTTTTACATACAATATTTTCAGTATTCAGATGTAAAAACTTAAAATTTATTTTTAAGGTAGATAATGTTTTGCAAAAAAATGTCACTATTACAGCCTGGAAATAAAAATACCTCTAAAAGTGTGCAGCCTCAAAACTTGTATGAGGGCAATGATTTATTAACTCATACATGGATTCCCTATATATATCCCTCGCAAATGGGTTTTAGAATACAAACTTTTTGGGGCATTTTTGTTTTGAGAGCAATTACAAATTCACTCTTTTTGTAGAATACATTTTAAATTGTTTATATATATATATATATATATATATATATATATATATATATATATATATATATATATATATATATATATATATATATATATATATTAGGGTGTCCCAAAAAAAAAAAATTTTTTTTTTCCTTTAGTTTTGTGTGTAGTTTTGTCCGTTAAAAGTGAAAATAAGAAGATTTTTGAAAAATTTTGAAGTTTGACCCCCCCGCCCTTCTTTTAAAGTTTTTACCCCCTCTGCCGCCCACTTTTTCAAAATTATTCACTTTTAAACTGATTTTAGGCTAAATATATAAATGTATTAAATATGTTTTGTATCAATATTGATCACTATTATAATTCTAAACTATGTATCATAGCTAATATTAGTAAACATAATTTGTTTCAATTCAACGATTCTCAAAAATTATTAAATATTATTATTCAATGCTTGAGATGAGAAAATTTTTTATGATGAATATTAATGTTACATACATTATTCAAATAATTTTATAATTTATAGCTACTTTTTTATCTATAGATATAATAGCATATATAAAAAATATTTGATCAGTTATGAGAAATAGTAAATTGAGGAAAAATGATGAGAAGTTTGATATTATTGTTGGTAAATTATTACCTACCCTTGAAGCAAAGATGTATAGTCAGCTACCAACAAATGGAGATGTTGTACGCCATTATCTTTATCTTACAAGATTTGAATTGAAATTAACTGGTAAAAAAGAAGTTGCATCTGTAGTTTGGGAAAAAGTTTATGTTTTTTGGAAAATGGCAGGAATTCCAATAAAACAGAAGAAAGATATTGTCAGAATGATACTACATCTGATTCATCTTAGAGAGAACTTGATTAAAAATGCAAAAAAAAAAAGTTATGCAGCTCAACTTCTGAGTTTTACTAATAAACTATCATTATTGTTTGATATTGCAGCATCAAATGCCGAAAATTTGATAAGAAAAGATACCTTGCTATATATATATATATATATATATATATATATATATATATATATATATATATATATATATATATATATATATATATATATATATATATATATATATATATATATATATATATATATATATATATATATATATATATATATATATATATATATATATATATATATATATATATATATATATATATATATATATATATATATATATATGTATAAATATATATATATAAATATATATGCATATACATATATATATATATATATATATATATATATATATATATAATATATATATATATATATATATATATATATATATATATATATATAGTTTATTTTGATTATGCGAATTAATGACTGATTTAACGTTCGGCATACACGAGTAGCTAATTTTAATGGTGTTTCTGTTAAAAATCTTGTGTAATAAATGACCAACAGGAAAGCTTGCATCAATTATTTTTAAAAAAAGATTACCAATTTTTGTTGCAACATTTTTACTATACGGGGAATTATACCAAATAATGTTTCGTTTGTTAAAATTGTTAAAATTTTTAAAAGCAATGGTCTCCATTTATCTATTAGCTGTAATGTTAAAATTGTCAATTACCGCGACTTAACACTAAATCTTAACAACAGTACCTTTCAACCTTACTCAAAGCTTACTCAAAGCTTACTCAAACCTTACTCAAACCTTACTCAAAGCTTGGCAATCTTTTTTTTAAAATAATTGATGCAAGCTTTCCTGTTGGTCATTTATTACACAAGATTTTTAACAAAAACACCATTAAAATTAGCTACTCGTGTATGCCGAACGTTAAATCAGTCATTAATTCGCATAATCAAAATATTTTATACAATCATGAAAAAACAACAACAAAAACTTGCAACTGCATCAATAAATCTACCTGCGTTATGAACAACCAGTGTCTAAGTAAGAACATTGTGTATCAAGCTACTGTTACATCCAATAAACCAGATTATACAGATAAAGTTT